TATTGAAATTAGCATTATCAAATCCGCCCCTTTTAACCTACTCACCATAGTTTCTCATTTATATGTGTTCATCTTGTTGAAAACTCCAGGTTAGTATGAAATTAATAATTCTGAACCATAAAAATCAAACGCTATGATCGTACATAAAATTCAGTAATTTAGTCAGTCAATCATAATCAACGTAGAAATTGGCACGTATGTGCATTGTTTCCAGTTGTCATTAGCATAGAGAGACGTCAGAGAAGCAGAAGTAGTACGGATATTAATAGTGGTAGAAGTGATTAAACATGAAGATTATTCGAAATGAAAATATGGGTTCATGGACTAAAAAGTACCATAAGTTAATTCGGGAACTGGAGATCAAGGAGAATAGAAGGTGTGAGTGCACCTGCGCCGTTAAGAACGATTCAAAGCCATTCCATCCAAATATATCTATCCATTAGCCACATAATCGTACAGAACCCAATCACACATTTTTCATTTACCTACATGGCTTAACTCAAGTGTCAATGACTTCATGGACTGATGCAATATGTTGTTTTTACCACTCCTAGATTATTCCTATACCAGCCAACCTAGCGAATCCAGGTAGGCGGCGACTGGGTGTATGTAAAACATGCCTCAAACCACTTCAGTCGACGAAGATTCACTACTTCATCAATAGATTTGCCATCTTTACTCAGTATCCTATGTATAACCTCAACAATGCTTACTCAGTGGTATCAATAGCAACGAGTAGTGCCTTGAAGATAGTTATGATCGAATATCAATAATCCACTATTCTTAATGGGGATGCTTAACACCTATAACGTAGAACAGAGAGAACTGCTAGGTGATAAACTAATTGTTTTGCTGGTATATGAGTATCTTACCCACGCTACAAGAGACGTATTAATTACCTATTATTTATCTGATATACTCTATTTTTTTTATTATTAGAACAGTCTTAGAAAAGACACTTCGAATACAGAATTGTACACATATTACCTTAGATGAAATATGTCATTTTAAAATGAGGAAAAATATCGAGTTATATAAGCTGTATAAAAAACAAACAAACATAAAACAGAAAATTCAGAATAATGTAACTTTAAAAATTTCACCGTCTACAAAATTGTCACTAAATTCATTGGTTTCATTTTAATAACCTGACTACTTGGAAACTTTAGCGTTAAATGTAAAATGAAAATAATTTTAAACTTTTGTCTGAAAATCTCACGGATTTATATTCTCATATTTAATTAACTAACCTACAATAAACATGGTGCATACGATATTTGAATATTTGACAGTGTAAATTGTGAATTTATTAAAAGCTTAAGTCAATCAACAGTATTTCAAAACACTGTGTATCATAAGATGGCGGTTGGAGGTAGTCAATAGGAAACCCTGGGTCCGGGTTTCCTGCTATTTGGCACTCGTCAGTAATGTGTACCTGTAATCTTGAGGGATCTGGTGCACGCAATGTCGAGTCACTTAGACTAGTGGCTACATTGCAACTTGGTCGATAGCATTCGATCTGCACTAAGAAGGACCTGACACACATGTCATTGATCAGCAACCAGTGATCAATCAATTGTAAACTGTGTATCATAATTAAGAAATAACAATAATATCAAGAAAAAACTTAATAAATATAAGTAGCTTTTTGTTTTTTAATTTCTTACTGATGAAGAATTTAAATGTTAAGAAAAAGTAAAATCATATTAGATTTTAGGTATGAATTCAATAACAACAGATTACTGACAGTGACTTCAGTGAATAAGAATCTTGATCATTAAAACGAGTGAGTTATAAAAACAAACAAACGTTCTAATGTACAAACGAGATTTCGGTAAATTAATTAAATGAAAAAATGTTTGATTTCTAATTAAGATTAATGTATATCCATTAGTTGTACTAGAAGTGTTAAATAAATGGAATAGAATAATCAGACAGTAGATAAAGTTAAAGAAATTAATTAGACAACTAATTAAGATTTTCACAGTTTATATCACTGACTGATCTTAGTTGAACAGTTAGGATGTATTGAACAACTGGTTCGTCCTAGTATGTGACTCCTCAGTAGCGTGGTGACTTGGTGGTCTAAATGATAAGAGCTCACGGAGAGACCTATGGATGATGTATTTTATCGCTGGCGGGGTCGTGAATGTACTCTGATAAGGAAACTTATATTGGTACGAAACAGCGCTTCTTGGTTTTCAATTGTTGTTGACTAAAGTTGGTTGGTAATGTAAACAACAGAATTCAGTAAACTTTACAAATACTTTACAATAATAATTGATATTTATGTGCTTTTCATAAAAGTTTTTAGCAGATTATTGAATAAGTTAATACGAAGTCACTTAACGCAGTAGTAAAAACACACGAGTATTTCTATTTTGTCATTACTTCGAATTCATCAATATTGGTTTCATGAGCCAAGTAGTACCGTAAAATCATGCATACTAGATATAACTAATAGTATGATAGAAGAATTAGCACTTTATTTTTTAAGCTGAGATTATCGTAAAAGGATCAAAGTAATCATAAAAGAACCATGATTAATATTACAAAAATGAAGTTATATTTGAGATAGCATTAGACTATGCGTATTCTTTATGAAGTTCTTTTTAGTAAAGAAATGAGATATCATTAATGTAAACAAGCTGGTAAACAAAGTGGATACTGAAAAATTTGTCCAAATGAGATAATTGACTATAGGATAATTACTTGCCAAATTTAACTATTTTATTTATTACTTTATACAGTTAATTGTTTTCTTCTTGATTGAAATGTGTGCGTGTGTGAGGGTAGAATAAAAGAATTTTTAAAAGTACTGTCCACAATTAAGCTAGGTTTTATAATCAATACCGTTAACAGAAAATGTGGTTAAATGCATATCATTTTTCTATTTTCTTTGATAATTATTTACATTGAGGTTGAATTAGTTGATGAATAGGACTGAGCAATGTATTCGTTAAGTGAGACAGATACAAAAAATCAGTGGTTTTGTTTTAAATATATTAATTTATATATAACAATCTACCCAATGCTCAATTACCAAGTTAAAACTTGGTAATGATACTTACAGTGGCTTTGATTATTTCGCCAGAGATGTTCCTCAGTGATCATATAAAATATCACAGATTGTTGGCGAACAATAAGGACAATCTGAAAAATACTAATCAGTCTGGAATTAATCACAAACTTTTCCCTTTTCCTCGTATGAGATTAAAAGAAAACAGTTGAACAAACTTTGTGTAGAAATAAGCAATGTCTACTTATGCAAAGATAAGGTCTCAAGAAACATTAGAACGATAAAATAACAATATCAGCAAGAAATATACTCAAACAATTTTTCATGATTACTAAGCCTTTGAATGTTTTCGATCAGAGGGAGAAAATCGGAATATTTAATTATTTTGGTCGAATTTCACTGTGCTCTAAAGTAATTTTGCCTATGATTAGTGAACATATATTATTAAATGAACATATGCAAGAAAAGTGACAGCATCTAGTAATTTAGTAAGATATCAAACCGAGCTAGATCTGAAGTCAAACGTCAATCCAATGTATAACGGACGAGTTGACGAATAATACTTTTTTAATGAGGGAACTAGGTGGAAGAAGCACGTACCAAAGAACGATTGTACTTGACTAGCGTTTGTTAGTTTAGCAAGGCATTTTATACTGGGTCGTAAGAATGATGCAACTAAGTACGTTAAAATGTTATAAAACACAGCTAAACATCAAAGTTGCTGGTGTAGAATTTCGTGTTTTGCATAAAGAGTAAAAACTAATTTTGAAACAAATACAGTTTATATATCTTCACTTACGTCTGGACTGAAAAATTTATAATATCTACTGGCATTATTATATAATTAGTTCTTTTAGTTTCCTCGTAATAACGCCACCTTTTCCCACGAAAAGATACTTAAACGAATCGGTTGTCAACAAAATTCTGATTAAACCGTCTAGAACACTTGACAAACCGTGAAACTTTAAACCCTAATCTTTTAACCGAAAGGCAACACTGTAAAGTAAGATGAACTTTGTATTTTGAACTACCAACCAGGTTAGTCTGCAGTCTTAGCATAACTTTCAAATAAGTGTTAGTTAAAGTCTCGGAGATCAGAGTTAAAAAATGTGGGAACGCATTGAACACTAGTAAGTATTACTGTCGTTGTTTTAGGTAAGTTGTACAATAAGAACAAAGTGTTTTAATAAACTCCTAAAGACTAGCTATCACATAATTATCAAGTAAAGGCACTTCTCCAAACTAAGTTAACGCGAAGTGAGAATGAAGTCAGTGTGTTCCTGAATTTCTTGGTTGTTTTTAGCACTGTTACCATCTTTCAGACATCGTGAGATATCTAGGATATACTACATTGTACTAAACAAGTTTATTGTGAAAAGTGACTACTTTTGCTATTTTATAATGGTGGGGCAGTTCTTGAATATCTAACACTTTTAACGACAGCTATCTCAAGCTTTATTTTTACAACTATGTATGTAACAAAGCAAACGTATTCTGAACGAGCAATCAGGGATTTACGCCTACTAGTTTTTGTCTAGCATTCGTTTTCCGTCTTATAGTTAAAACAATGGTAATAAAAGTATGCGGTTTGAATACCAAAACCAAGGGCTGAACACTAAAACTAGGTTAATTGTAAAAATAATACCTGTTTAGCAGCACTAAACCGAAATGACCCATGAAGCGATAACTTTTAGATATCCTGTCAAGAACAGCACTGTATGTCTCAAGAAAATTTAGGTTATGTGGATGTCGATGTTTAACTAAAAACTAATAGCAATGATAAATTGGACATACTGAAAACGTGGACCTATTTGAAATAATATAATTAAATAAACTTTGAATACTTCGGGATCACCAAAGACTTTTACCCAATAAAGCAGAAATCACGTCACTGAAGTCTAATCCCTTAGCAAATAGTAAAACGATAGTGCAGAGAAACATATAAATAAATTTAAAGAGAGGTTCACACGGAAACACTCACCTTGCAACCTTCACAAGAAATCACCCCATAGTGGTAGCCACTTGCTTTGTCGCCGCATACCTTGCAAGGAGTGAATGTTGCCTTTATGGATCCAACGTTAGAATTACTATCAGCAGCAGATACTTCAGAACCTCTTTCTATGGTTCTAGACGATCTGCAGTTAACCAATGACCCAGGACCAGAGCTGACTGTTCCACAAGGCGTAATAGAATGATCGGGTACGCCATTAGGAGAATCTCGAGGTGAAATTTTTCCAAGAGAATCTGTACAAGTTACATCACCCATATTAGTATGACTGTTGTGAGGACCTAACTGGCGAGGTGACGTAGTGATGTGAAGAGGACGTAAATCAGAAGAATGGAACGGATCTGAATATGGAAACTGTCCATGGTCACGATGTTGGGAAAAATGACTTTCTAACGAACCAACAGAACCGTTGTGTTGATCCCTGTTGACAAGCATGGAATTTTGTAACATATCATGAGGAAATATCTGTGACAGACCATAGCTGTTGTTAGGAGCTGAACAAATAGTGGACGGAACCTGACGTTGGTAAAACGAATTTGAAACACCATGTGAAGAGGTGTAACTTGAAGCATAGGCTGACGGTGGACTTGGTAAAAAACCTTGGGGAAAAGAATGTCTGGACGGCAAAGGATATGGATGATTAGCAGACATAGGTAAATTGCTACAGTCCGAAAATCCTGGGTACGTTTTATTTGGGAAATTTATATATGATTGATCAAGTGATGGGGAACCATTTGAATCTGTGCATCCAGGAAATCCAGATAACGGAGGGGAAGGAATGATTGAGACAGAGGCACTCGCATTAGTTTTTAAAGAGAAACTGCTGCTTACACCAGAATCAGAAAACGATGCGCTTCCAGGATCTGCTTTGAGGTCGAAATTTGATTCTGGGCTTATTGCCATCACTAATAAAATTGATTAAATATGTGAAACTAAATTAGAAATTTGCAAATTATGTTTAGTTAAGGGACGTAAATAATGGATCAAATTAAGTCCTAAAAGTACACAGATAAAGAGCAAAGGAATACAGTCTTACAAAACTAGTCTACATGCCAGAAACTCCAAGCAAGCCAAAACGTTTAACCCCAGCGGCAAACTTGGGTTACCTAAGGTCGTTAAAGAATCTCTATTTGCGGTGCGTTTTAACAAAAACATGGTGAAGTGCATGAATGTTATTACGGTCTACTGATAAAGTTTGCTAGACGCTTAGACACACCATAATATCTGAGTAATAATTCAGAAGAATATGGTCTTCAGTATTTAGCAGTTAGAATAGTAAGTTTATCGACCTATATTACTCCTTGAAATTTGTTACACTGCGGAAGCCCAATTCTCTCTGATTGTGAGTTCTAGTAGAAAATCCCAGTAGTCACTACTCGGGTACAGAAACAAAACTCCAGACATAAACGATTGTATCTCATTTTTTTTAACTTTCTTAGAATGTTCTCTGATATGATCAGTTATAGATAGAATGGAAAGATGAGGCACATCAATACTAAGGTAATCGTTTAGTATACGACAAGCAAGTGTTAGATCATTCCGTAAACTGCGTTAGGATAATGGCAATAAGTTGATATGTCCCAGTCTGTTTACATAGGATAGGTCAAAAAGACCTTTTACCATTTTGGTCCCACGCCGTCGGACTCCTTCCGGCATATCCGACTCATACTGGGGATAAATACTATTTGAATCCCATACCTTAAACGCAACTTTACAAAATACAAGTATAATACCCCAAACATTTCTTTGTCCAAGTAGTGTAATGGCTTACGAACAGCCCATAAGACCCTGAAGACTTTGTCAGTGACAACCTTGCAGGTGCTTTTAGCTTTAAGGTTGAGGTTTATTGTGACTCCTGGATCTTTATAGTCCATTGTCTTCGGTAGCAAAGTCCCATATATTGTGTGGTGGTTATATTTTTCGCATCACCACACGCCAATTAGAGATAACGTACGGTGACTACGTACTCATTTATGCTGCCGGTAAATTTAGGCCGTCCTGTAATGTTCTACCTGACATACTATGTATGGGTCTATAAATCTTTATGTCATCTGCAAAGAGTAGAACAGATCATCTTGCCACAATTTGTAAGCCATTTACATAAAGTAAAAAAGGAAGAGCACCGAGGATTGTACCTCGGGGAACTCTACATTCTTCAGATTTCAGAGCTGATGGGGCCCTATATGCCCTTAACCCCTGGTCTTCTATCGCTGACAAAGTCAGTTATCCAATCTACGATTCCTAACGTTGTCCCAAAACTTTCCGGTTTTAATTTAAAACTTAGATGGGAGACTTTGTCAAAGGCTTCACTTAGATCTATGAAAGTCAGATCTACAGATAAATATTCCTATCTTTCGCTGAAGCCCAATTTTCTCTTGCAACGAGAGGATTTATCAAGCGTGATAGGCCTTCTCTAGAACTGTATTGTTTTTGGATGAAAGACTATGACCGTCCACGTAGTCTAAGTAGCCGTTGGAATAATGGTCACCACTAATTTGACAACTCAACTGGTTAGACTAACGGGTTTATAATTACTAAGTCTATGCTCTCTGTCCTGCACACTGGACTGATTATCGCGTCTTTTTAGTCTCTTGGCAGTCTGGAATGGTAAATATATATCAGCTAGTATGCCCAGAGGTTCAGCAATTACATCACACCTGGCTTTCATAATTCGTATATGAATATTGTCAGGACCACTCAAGTTATCTGGTTCGAGGTGCTGAAGCAAGTGTAGGACTTGTTTCCTCAGAAATGGTTCATCGAATTATCTTGATAGAGTAAATTTTTATACATCAGTAATACTTTCTTAATTGTCTGAGCCTGTTACGCCTCTGAGAATAAATCCCCCCGACAATAGATCTCCAGTCAACAAAATTATGGGGTCACCTTTTCAGTTTTTATCAAGTGCTATCAACCGTCTTGATATGTAATTTTTATTCCCAGAGCCTTTGTTGTTGGGTCTGCCTCGCTTTCTTTGATTTTGAGAATTAAAAGTTGAAGAGTGTCTTTTTACACAGTTTGATGGTTTCGATAATCCATGTCTTATTTACCTCCATCTTTTTCTAATACCATCTTAGGTTTGTACTTCGTTCCAGTAGGTTGATGCTGATGTACAACGAGTCAGAGATATTTTTAGGAGTATAGGGGTTGTGGAGATTGCTAAGTTTTTGATTAAGATCATGAACCGATTGATATTAGCTGCCTATAATTAAGTGTGTTATTTGATGATTGTTGTATTAGTTCCCTGAGTTACTGATCGACAAAACTGTGCTGCTTTACTTTCCAGGTTGAAAACTCTGATCTCGATCTTTAGTGAATTTTTCTCGAGTTGTAGATGTCACTCAATTTAAGGAACACTGACTTTGCTTTACCGATTCGCACCCTAACATATGCCCCATATTCCTTTGTTTACCGACAATACTGCCCATCTCATCAGGAGCTTCACTATTAGGCGTTATTTAGCTACTGCTCGCTGATTATAGTTCGCGACCTTACTCTTAGCGTTGTGCATGATGAGGCGTACTTTAAAATCCCTCAACTACTACCTGTCTTTACATGTATTTATTGATATATGTGATATAGAGGGGCCTAGCAGTCTTCAAATTCCGGCAGCACCCAAGGTGTCTAATGAACTCATAGCTTCTTAGATGTGGAAGTCTTCACAATTCAGTCAACAATCAGGAGAAGGAACGGTCTGAAAAGAGAGTTTAATCCAGTATTAGTCTTCGCCAGGAATGTTACCACGAACGACTGTGCGATTTAGTCTCTCTTAAGAGTACTGAATGATGGCGACAATCTTTGCAGGCGATTCGTAGTGTAGAAGAAAGTTTCATAAGGTTCTCCTGTTAACGTAATCGAGGAATTTGACTCATAATGATGGACTTCATCAAGTCATTCACAGAATAAAGGTCCATAATGTCGCTATCTGGCCGGCACATGCTTATTCTTTACAAAATTCACAAAATTCAATCACTCCACTCTGTAACCCCGAGTTCGGTCATACATGACCTTATGTCAGGCGTTCAACAACATACAACTACAAAGGCAAATAACTTTTACGGAAGTTGAGCAACGAAAACATACACAAAGGTTCTTAAGAAGTACGAAAGATGATTCAAAGAGGCCTAAGTGGAAGTTAAGTTACAAGACAATGTTGTTCTATAAAACACTTTAGAGAGATTTTCCCAGTATTCCATCCTTTCCCTCCCATTGTAACCAAGCTCTATTTTATTAGAAGTTAAAAAGTGTTCATTACAGTGTCGAAATACACCATCTTTAGAATGCTGTCTTTGCGTAGCGATGATATTTTGAACGTGTTTATGAAGTATTTTACGTTCATTACAAAATTAATTTAACGTTAAGCTATCATCTGGTGGTCGGTAGCACTCATTAGCTTAAGTCAATATTTCTGAGCAGCACATTGGATGATTATTAAGTACACCCTTCTTAACATCAAAGTTTGAGAGTGAAAAAACCTGAAATAATTTTCGAACATGTTATAAGCGAGATAAACCAGCAAATTCTTTTCGCAACTTTAACCTACTTATGTTGTTAAGTTAACAATTATGCTGTAATCTGATATATCGTAAACGCTTAGCCTGTTATCGGTCCAAAACAACATAGTAAGAGTGAAAAAGAAATATTAAGATAAGAGCCAGAGCTAACAGTGAAGCAGCTTGCAGAACGTTGCTGTAATATTTTAAACAGGCACACCAGCCTATCCTATGGTATGGAAGGGAAACATGAAAAGGATGAAACTGATTATTTTTAGTAGCGATTTTAATATCAGTTTCAGAATAAGTTTTGCTGTCAGATTCATCTGATCCACTGAATATCAATTAATTCTTGTTAAAAACTCCAAACTGTGCATCACTATTTATTGTTGTTTTGTTGCATCTGTATACATCAGTAAGTCAAAAAATACTGTTGAACGAAGTTGTTACAAAGTTGACCAAACGAGTTGCATAACTCAAATTAAAAATAACAAGAACTCGTTAGTAAGTTCAGCTTGCTTTAAGCAAATTATTTTCAAAGGTGTTTGATTTGGTAACTAGTGCATAGTCTATGAAACTGGATTTGGAGTGATATGTTAAATTTTGTTAGCAACAAGTTTTCAAGTGATGCATTTCAGATGGTCTGTTGTGCCAGAGACTGTATATTTTCCATTTTCTTTTCTAAATTTTGTTGTCTGGCTGCACTTTCATAGTGATATGAGAAGACTTGCTCGATCTCCCATGTGGCAGTGATTCTTCCACAAAGTGAGAACAATGGAATGGAAATCGGAACCTGGAAATACATTAACCCAGAGGATGTACGCTCGAAATGAAATGGTGTGTAAACAATAGTGGAGGTCTAAAAGGGTCAATACGAAGACATTATCAAGACCCTATGACTCATCCATGCAAGCATAGTCACTGTAACAGTTTACCTTCTTGTTAAATATATTATTCTGTCGACACTGTTCTTCAGAGGTCCATAAAAAGCAACTTTCTTGGCTACCACAAGTTCATGAATCAGTATAGGCAACAACATGACCTTGACGTAAAATAATATTGCATTACAGAGAGCCAACGATATTACTGTAGGTCTTCTAATCTCGTGGTGCACGTAAATTAGTCAGCAGCAACCGTGGACACAAATCGTACAAAGTCACGGTCTCGACGACATGGAGGGTATCGGGCTTATGATCTGTGCTGAGCTATCAAAGTTATAGATCCTCGAATACAATTAAATCTGTTTAGGTTTAGTTTTGCTAAGACGTTCAATTAACTTATTCGGTGGACAATGTCATTTGAACAATAACGATTTACCTATATATCTATATTGTTACTGTCACATTTGCGTGAACATGTATGCTTGATTACATGTCACTGTCTACACACGTAATGACTTACTAGCTTACATTTTGGCTGGTTATGTTGCCCAATGACTCATGTGCCTTCCTATATATATGTACTTCTTAAATCCTATCAATTCATTCGCCGCTGTATTCGATCGACCCCATTCATTTGCATACGCAGCTCTCGAGTTAGTTTTGTGTGACTTAGTGATTTACTCTGTATAGTAATAAACTCTGGTTGGCGCTTCGTACTGTCCTCTGAAATTTA